AGCCCACGACAGCTTCCACCACAGACAGAGGGGACTGGCAGGGTGGATGTGTACCAGTGACACAGTTGGAAGTTCACTGTTGTGTGTTTTTTCTTTTTCTAGAGAAAATGGAGCTACAGTGATCATGTGTGTGCATGTGGTTGTTAGATCAGGCTGCCAGAGCATCTCCAGTTACAGGAGCTCTCCAGTGAGATAGGAAAATACTGGAGAGCTCAGAGGAGGCCACAAAAATGCTCCAGTTCTGGAAAACAAACCCTTAATGAGCTCAGTTTATTCAGGCACATCCAAGAGAAGGGAGTTCAGGAGTGACTCAGCCACTCTGGAAATCTATGCCTATGGGAAAGTTATCCCAGAGCTGGGTCCTGTCAGCCTTTCCAACAATGGGATCCAGTAACTGAGAGGCAAAGCTGCACAAATTCTTTTAAATGTGACCCAATTTCCCAGCAGTGCTGGTGGTTCATTACAGGAATAGTTCAGGGGGAGGTTAAAGGCCTATCAGTGTCTGGGGCTCTTCAGCTCAACCATAACAGTGTTGAGGATGTTTAAAGCAAAAACCTTGGGCAAGTCCCTGGGGCCAGGCTGGGCCAGGGCTCTGGAGAGCTCTGGGGGATCCTCACTGAGGCACCTCCTGGGCTCTGCTCAGGCTGCTGGGCTGCAGGAATAGCAGGGGGTATTTTTGATGTTGCTGAAGGGCTGGTGGTCTAAAGACAGGTTTAAGCAATCTCAGGCTTTTGGATGAAGCTCTTCAGGGGGGAATTCCACAGGCTGTTCTTCCAGAGGAAAGTGAGATTAAGGAGCGTTTCTTCTCCACTGTTTAAATCAGAGGTTGGGCACAGCAGAGAGCTGTGCTACCCCAGTGCAGGGAATCCCCTCCCACATTTATTCTCTTTTCCCCATGTGTTTGCAGTTGATCCAGGTGGGAGATCAGGAAGGGATTCCCAGCAATGGCTGCTTTTTAAGTCACATACAAGTGTTTCATGCTTAGCAAAAGCAGAGTTTTCCTGATGGGACATTCTGCTGTTATTGTTTACCTCATCAGGTTCTTGTAAAGGGATTTTTGGAGTTTGTCTCAAACTTGGAATGGTTTGAGTGGGAAGGACCTTTAAAGTCCATCTGTTCTAACCCTCTGCAGTGAGCAAGGGCATCTCCAGCTGGATCAGGCTCCATGTACTTCAGTAGGACAAGGGTGCTTTGAGGGCAGGAGGATTTATAAAAGGTGTTGGATGACAGAGTCAGGTAGAGGATCCACTGACTCACTCTGAAATTATTACTTTTTGGTTAAAATAAATCAATAAATCTCCCTGTGCTCCCATGGGCAGTGAAACTGCCTGTTACACAGCACTGTGCACTTTGGTGCTCTCTGAGGGCTTGCTGCCTCCCTGGTTTTACATGGAAACAGGCACCTGCCCGTGGCTGGGGGCAGCCTTTTGGCACAGCCATCACTGATAGCCAGGACTTCTGATATCGTGGTTTTTCTCATGGTATCTGCAAGCAATAGAGCAGGAATAATCAAATTTTAACATGTGGAGCAGAGCCAGCAAAATGCATCTTCTGGAATGTAAATGCTCCTTCAGAAAAGCTCTGTCTGGAGTTTTTAAGGCAGAAGTGCTCTCTGGGAGAAATCCTGACACTCCCCTGCACAGTTTTGGGGTGGTGACAGTTCAGCAGTTGCATGAAACTTCTCATCTTTCTTTGTGGTGTTGAACATGCTGCTCATCTGAAACCACATCAGATCAGTGCCTGGGGCACATGCAAAGGGTCGGGGCTCAACTGAACACTACAAATTGCTCCTTTCCATGGCAAACACGAATTGGCAGAGCTGGAACAAGGGTAATTCCTGTTGTTCTCCAAAGGCAGCCTGGAGAGAGGTGAGGGCCAGCAGGGAGTGGGCCCTGTGTTGTGAGTTCTCAGCCCCGTGGTGGGACAGCTGGGGTCCTCATGCACAGGGAGATCCCAGTTCACAGAGGGTCAGACAGACAACCTGTGCACTCAGACAACCAAAGTAGTTGCTCCTGTGAATAAATAATTTATCCAAACATGCACTAAATAACTTGCTGATGTGTGATATAGCCTGGGATGAGAGGGAATGAAGGGGCACAGCCACCTCTGGGCTAATGACAGAGACATTTTGTTGGAATTGAGGGTGTCCTCCTGAACCAAGTTTTAATAATTTGATTGAAAAGCTAATTACTGGGTTTGTATGTATAATATGCCTCTAGGTAAAAATTTTTTTGTAGCTCTCTGAGGATTCATGGTGCTCTGGCAGCCTCCTTAGCAGCTCCCTTGGTAACCAGGGACACTGGCTGGCCACAGAGGAACTGAGCAGTGTGTGAGGAACAGAAATACATGAACAGAAACAGGGCATGTGCTGGGGGCTGAACATCCTGCTGGTCCACATTTTCACCTCTTAATTGAATGAATGTGTAATCAGTTGATAGAGTGTTGGAGGAACTATGGTAGATGTCAGTGATAAAAATCTGAAAAAATCTTGCAGAAAAATGAAAGAGGGGAGTCTGTATATGTGGGATGTCAGAACTCTGGAAGGCTGTTTTCCTGGAGGATAAAAGTCTTCATTCTTTTGGAATCCACGTGGAGGTTTAGTTGCACTGTGACCAAATGGCTTAACTTGGGCCTGGAAGGTGAGAGTCTTGTCCAGGTGTTTTAGCTCAGGAGTAGGGAGTCCTTTTCCAGCTCTTCTCACTGCCTGCTGGGTGATTCAGGGCAAAGAATGCTTGGTGGACTGCCCTGCTTCTGTCATTTACAGCTTATTTAGTCTCAGCGTTGCCACTCACTTGGGCTGTTGCTCTGGGCACAGCCCGTGGTGCTGGCTCTAAGGAGGGATAGGCCTGTTTGAGGGCTGAGGCAATTGCTACTGCCAAAGACATTTCTATAGCAGAAAAAACTCGTGTTGCTAATTTTTACAGAATAATCCTCCTTGCAGTGTCTTCTCCAAGGAGTAGGTGGCCTGATGAAGCTAAAGAAAGATGAAGTGTTTTGGAATCTGATCAGACCAGGAACAGTTAAAAATTCTTCAACTTCTGTCTGATCACCTGTAAAAGCTGGGAGTCCTGTTCCTTCACTGACCAATATCCCACTGGACAAGGTTGTGTATTCCCTGTACTTACCACATTGTGGATCTTGAAGAAGGAAGTTGCCAATGAAGAAAAAGTATATATAAATAATGGAAGAATTAAGCAAAGGAATAAAGTTCTGATTTATATTGTGTAAACATTTGAACAGTAACAGCACTGGAACCAGTTTTAAACTGCCCTATCAGGAGTGGTTGGTGTTGGTGTCCTGGTCAGGAGCTGCTGTTCCTGCAGCCTTACCTGCCCTTACTCCTGGTGGTACTGACATAAAAAGTGCATCAAAGCCTGTTTTTTCTGTCTTAGTGGAGCAGTCAGATTGTCTGCCCAGTGCTTCAGTCCCTCCAAGTCTGTCTGTGAGAACAGGAGAGACTCGGGCTCTACATGGATTTCATACATTTCAATAATTTCCTCTTTATTACATCTCCAGCTCTGCCAAGGATACAGTCACACTTCTTGTTAGGTCTAAACATGTGGCTGCTGTCATTTTAGACTCCTTTGATTAATATAAAACTTTTTTTTCCTCATTCCATGGCTATTGGTACCCACACAATGTGATTTATTCTTGGCCGTTGCTCATCTTGCCTTCAAAAGCAGAATATCTTGCAAGGGCTCACCCTTAAAGCTCTGCACATAGCTGCACTTCAGTTACTAATTTCAGAGGTTAGTTTGCTCTTGCATTTTTCTGCACTTTTTAATCTGTGCTGAAACTTCCTGTTCTATGGTTCAAAAGACACTTTCTGGTAATTTTTGATTTTCACAGGAATTCATTGAGCCTTGTTTGGGTTACATGTTCATGGAGGAAAAGTCTCATTTTCAAAATGGCCAGGACACTGTCTGTCCACTGCTAATCTTTGTAATGTTAAACTCTGCCTGAACCTCCTCAAGGAATAAGCTGTTGTGTCAGGAAAAGAGTTGGCTGGAACGTGGCAGTGCTGTGAGGAGTGTTTGAACACGTGAGCACAGGAGGGGATCTGCACTGCTGGGAAATCCTGGCTATACCAAACTGCTCCACGTGGCTTTTCTTGGGTTATACAATTGCCTGTACATTTTTGGAAAATACTCCTTGGGAACTAAAATCTCCCACTGTTACAAACTTAAGGGAGATGGGTTTGGGTGTTTGAGGAGGGCAGTGCAGCTGTGCTGGACAGGCCAAAGCTTCTGTGTCAGCCGGGGCAGGGCAGGTTTTGTCAGCCAAGAGTGTCACTGTCTGGGGCTCTTTGTGAGCAGTGGTGGCCACTGGGTCAGTGGATGGAGGGAGGGGAGGTGTCCTGGTGGGGCTGTGTTTGTAGAGGTGGAGAACCTGTGTGGCTCAGGACAACTGGTTCTGTGAATGGTTCATCACATCAGCACAGTGTTCTGCCTAGTCTTTAGTGACTCTTACCCACATAAAATCACAGAACAACTTGAGTTGGAAGAGACCCACACAGACCATCCAGTCCAACTCCTGGCCCTGCACAGACACCCCAACAATCCCACCCTGTCCCTCATAGTGTTGTCCAAACCCTCCTGGAGCTCTGGCAGCCTTGGGGCTGTGCCCACTGCCCTGGGGAGCCTGGTCAGTGCCAACCACCCTCTGGGGGAAGAACCTTTTCCTGAGATCCAACCTGAGCCTGCCCTGACACAGCTCCAACCGTTCCTTTGGGTCCTGTCCCTGGTCACAGAGAGCAGAGAGTTGTAGACTGCTCTGGGATCTCCCTTCAAAGCACCTCATGATCTTAACTTTACTGTAAAGATGTTTAGCAAGATGTAAAAAGTTTTCAAGTGTGTAAGACAGGTTCAAGGAAGCATTTGCTGCCTACCAGTCTGCCTTCTCAAGTTTGCACTGACCCAGGTGCTGGTTGGGGCCATGGGGCTGAGGGGTTGTGTGGTCAGGTGCACAAACAATGTGCTCAGAGGCCTCTTTGCTTCCCTGCAGCTCCGTGGTGGCAGTGGGACCCCCCAGGCATCCCTCAGCAGTTAACGCCTTCACCGTCCTTTGGGGAGAGTTTGCTGGTCTGGGGGCACACCCCATATCTGGTGGGATTGGGGCAGCACAGCTTCAGGAACTCCTGCCCCTTTCCAGTCTGTCTTGCAGGAGCTTGGGAAAGGATCGTTTTCACCTTGTGCTCCCAGCTTGGGTGTTGGGGACAGCTGAGAGTGTCCGTGGTGCAGGACAGAGCAGGAGGGAGGGGGCAGGAGCGGCACAGACTGCTCTGGCTGTTCTGAACCCACACTGAGCTGCTGTGCTCTCATGACATATCAATGGGTAGATCTTTAGGGGGAAGGAATGGTCCTATTCTGACAGTGTGATGTTGAGATTATTAAAATGAATGCCTATTCCGAGGATCAATGTGGAGTTTGTTTCTCAAAGTATTATGAACTTCCTTGGTTTGCGCGATGGTTCACATAGATGGGTGAAAGGGAACTGGACTATAAACCAAGGAGTGGACAATAAACCAAGTGCCTGTCATACAAACATAACTAGTCCTGTTTCATCACTGTAGCTTGTGTGACCACTCTTAGGTGCAGACATCCTCCAAATAATCAATATTTTATGGTACAGTGGTGTATTAGGGAATAGATTTGTGAGGATTCCATTTTGATTTGTGAACTTCATTCGTGATATTCACTTATTTTTGTAAAGATTGATTTAAATACATTCTATGCTGAAAAGTTACCCAGAAGTTCCTTACAGATAAAGCAGATTGTGTAGAGCTCAGTTTAATTTAAAAAGTTGTAGTGGGTTAACTGTTGTCTGATTCAGTGTCATTTCTTCTCATGGAATGGGAGAACTGTGAATTTTCCTATCTTTAGTACTGATATTCCTTGGTGATGATTTACACAATACAGGGCACTATGAAATGTCTGTGCAGGAGCAGTCTCCAGTTACTGTGTATCATCTGCTTTTCCCTTTTCAAATGGAAACAAAGCTTGGTGTTTAACGAGAAATTTCTGGAAAGGCTCATTTTGGGTTTTTCTGCTGTCCTGTGTGTGTGAAATGCAGCCACAGCCTCGTTAGAGGGCACTCTGGCCTCACCCACGGGGAGGCTGAGCAGCCACATTCCCAAACCAGCTCTCTGGGGAAAAATCCTGATGCAAATGTTCTTTACCCCCCAGAGCAGTGAGAGAAGCCCGAGCTGGATTGCCCTGGGTACTAATGATCCAAGGCAAGATTACCTGTGCTGTGGGCTGATTTCATGCTTGTGCTCTGTGTGGAACCTGGCAACAATCTATTAGAGAATTCACTGTAGTTTTCCAAAGATGAATTAATTAGAGTAACTTGCTTTTCTTGTCGCCTTTACCCATAAACTGCCCTGATCTTAAATGTATATCCATTTTGGAATTTCTTTGGGTTGCTATCAAGTTCAAAAAAGTCAGTCTGTTATAAAAAATAAGTTGCTTCAGAAACTCTTGGGTTTTAATACCAGCCCTTATATCAGTTCCGTCTGTGCCTTTGACAAACAGCTTGTCATGTCTCCTTTCACTTTCCTTCTGAAAAAAGAGGATAATGATTTTTAAGTCGGAATAATTAATCGAGTTTATAAATGTGCTTTGAAATCTGAAGTGTTTTAGAATTTTTTTAAAATATAATTAAAATATTGAACAAAGCAGGAGTCAGAGAAGTCAAATTTAAGACCACGATTATTGCTCAACTGCTTTGGTGGTGCTTCTGTTCTGGCAAGATTATAGAGCCAGATCATTTGCATTACTTTTGATTTCTTGATGTTTTTAGTTTTTTGTCCAAGCAGAAGCATTTTTCATATGCAGGAGTCAGATTGTCTGTAAACATAAACACAATCTTACCTTTGTCCAAACATACCTTGTTTTGCTTTCGCAAAACCAAACCAAACTGGTGGGACCCGAAACAATTTCTGAGCAATTAGCACTGACTCATAGCCACACTGGGGAGGCTTGGCAAAACCCAGGGCATGTTTCCTAGGCTGGAGCCATCCCTACAGAGCATAAACCTCAGCTTTAAGGTATGGCTTTATTCAGCCTCTGAATTCCCCCTCTGTGAGAGCGGTTCAGGTATGAGCTGGGTTCTGCGTCACCGCTCCTTGGGGTGCTCGTGTGGCTCTCTAAGGTGGGAGAGGAGGCACAACGAGGGACCATGATGTGGCAGGGCCAGCCAGGGCCGGCTGACTGACCAGCTCCTTCCTGGGAAGGATTCCTTCCAGCTGGGACTGGCACATCCGCCTTGCCAGGGAGCTTTACTCCGAGATGCAGCTTTGTTATCCATGGGGTAAGGACAATAAACACTGATAATAGGAGGCTCTGTGCTCCAGCCAGGAGACAGCACTTTGCTTGGATTTCTGAATCACTCTGTAGGGCTTCCACGAACTCTGTTGGCCACGAGACTCCGTTCTCCACAATCAAAGCAGAATAATAAGAAAAAGTACTGGTCAGGCCATCTTTTTCCTTTCCTAGTTTTTAATCTCCTCTTGCACCTTCCCTTTCTGTCCCACTAGAACAGCTCCTTAGCTTTTTGGCAAAGAGGGGTTGCCTGCAGTAGAAGGAAAGCTGAGATGTTCCCGCTCCGAGGTTCTCCAGTGTCTGTCCCAGCTGGAGAGGCAGGAGGAGACAGCAGCAGCTGAGCTGAGTGGGGCCATGTGGGTGGCTGCAGGTGTGTGGGAAGCAGCGCTGTGGAGACGCTCCTGCAGCCTGGGAGGCACCTGATGGCACAGGGGGAACAGCCCTTACAGTCACATCTGGGGGAGGTATCCTGGCAAACCAGCCCTTGGGATAAATGCAGGCACTTGTGTGATTCCCAGCTCCCACCACTCTCCTGGGAGGGTGGCAACAGCTTTTCTGGGCAAAGGGTGTGGGTCAGGGAGAGGGAGCAGCCCAGACCTGACGTGGGGCTGTTGTGTGGCCCCTGGATTGTTTCAGGGAGTTGGGAATACGGCAGCAAACAAGGCAGGCTGGGATGGCTTCCCAGTGACTGCATCATCTGGAGTTTCTGAGGAACCTTTTATTTGTCTGCCTGGCAAGTGGATTTTAAGGTGGAATGGAATATACAGGGACTCGTCTGGCAGAGAAAAAACAGTTACTGAGCTTAAAGCATTTCGTCTGTGGAACTGGGGATTGTATTTTTCATGGTTTTCAAGAGTGTTTCTTGTACTCTTGTGATTTAAGTTAATGACACTGGGATTCACACTGTGAATGACAGAAGCTTCAGCCAAAGTCTTCACCTCCTTGGTGTTGTTCTCCATCCCATATTCAGATCCCTCTCATGTTTCACCACAGTCTGGGTCTAAAAAAGGCTGGAAATCCAGGAGCTAGTGACATTACAGAACATACTTAAGAGGAGCTCCAGCCTGCTTGCATAAAACACTTTCCTTCAGTTTTGAGTAACATCTTCTAGAAATATTTTCTCACAGAACGTTTCTGTGGAACTGAAAGTTTCATTTGATGATGTTTCGGTCTTTGTAATTGTTTGAAGAGCAGCTGGTGTTCTGTGGTGACGAGTTTGCCTGGGTTAGCCAACGCCATCTCCCCAGCACAGTGTACTGAAGGGTGTAATAAGTGATGTGCTGGTGTCATCTCTGCTTTAGCTCTGAAATCAGCCCCAGGTACAATCTAATCTTTATTAAGGAAGCTGGTTGCAGTTCTTGGTCCCATCTCTGGTTACAGTGTTGCACTTAAAAGGTTTCTGCCCAGTGCTGATTTTCCCCCTCAGCAGCACAGTGTCTGTGGGGATCTGGGGGCCCAGTGCTGGTTCTGGGCAGTTGTTTTGAGGCTGGTGATGTGACTGAGCTTTCTTGAGCCCATTCTTGCTGTTCACTTACCCTCAGACTGACATTCTCACAGGGCAGGTTCTTGTGCTGGCACAAATTGCTGTGTGAGGCAGTAGGCAGCAAGAGCTGCAGAATGTTTCCTGCTTAAAAAAAGCAGTGAAAAATCCACTGCTAACAGAGGTTAAGGGAAGAAGTACAACTGTGTTTATAAAAACACAGGAGAGGAGCATAATGGGGAAAGCTTAAATTGAGGGCAGTCTTCTGCCTGATGTGATGATGTAATGGAACAAGCACCATTTTTTCCTTCCTTTTTTTTCTCTTGTTTCAGTAGGAGCAGTTTAGCTAAGAGCCCAGTGGTGCTATCTGGCTGACTTGTCATAGGTTTAAGCATCAGAAAGTATATATTTTTATGTAGAGCAAAGGCAAAACTTTGGGGATATGCTTAAAACACAAAAGAAAACAAAACCAAAAGAACAAAACCAAAGAAAGTCTTTGGTGTACAGTGTCCAGAGTGATTTTAAAATGCTCTTTTGCCATGCCTAAATAAATGGTGATTTCAGCCAAAGAGAAATCTTTCCTTGTGATTTATTACACTAATTTAGATATAAGCCCTCTGAGCAGGATTGTCAGTTTACTAGAACAGCCTTCTTTCTCCTTTCAGATTTAATCCACATGTTGTTGTATCAACAGAGCCTTTGTCTCTGCTCAGTTATGAGTTATCCTTTTTTAATAATAATATTAAAAAAAAGTGAAAACACATGTTTTTTACAGCCCTATTACAAAGAAACATGGGATGACATAGGGAGAGGAGACCATCAACTGGTGACTCTGATTTGTAAGTAACTTCAAAGTGATGCTGCTTATAAAAGGGTGAAAAATGGCCCTCTCCCTTCTCCCTGGGCAGGGACTGTGGAAGCCCAGCAGTGAAAAGAGGAGGCAGCATTTTCTTTAGCCAGGATTTCCGAGGTTTTTTCCCCCAGCTTGTGCAGTGATGCTAAACGTGCTCTTTTTAGTTAACTCTAATTTCCTTCCTTTTTTGTTTTTTTAAGGAGAACTTATCCAGAGGTGTATGTAATTCACATTTCCTTCCTTCCTGCCTTCCTCCCCTGCAGAGAAGGAGTTCTTTCTTGGACCCCTCCTGTTTTCTAAATGGAGAGGAATTACTCTCAGGAAACTCATGAGTTTGGTATTATTTCTATACTTGGTTTTGTGAGAAAACATTTATTTTGAGTATAAATGCTTACTTGATACCTGCATGAGGGT